TCAAGTGTGGTGAGGCAAATAGCTACGACCAAAATAGCGCAACATTCGGGCTTTTCAGTGAGAAGTAAACATGTACAGTTCATCGCTGTCGAACGACAACGCAGTGTAAGTGAGTCTGATTTCACACATACACAATACATCGCAAGTGAAAATGATAAGTAACATGATATAAAAAAAATATGAAATATGTCTGTTCACAGTTAGATTTGAATTATAAAAAGACACAGTTTTAATTAGAGTATGTACGCACTGAGAAGAAACCGCACGCTGAATTTTATACCGCGCATTTTTATTTTCATGTTGCTTGTTCTTCGGGTCTGTAGGTCTATTCTTATTACATCCCTAGGTCACCTGAGCTTTAGCGCAAGTGACCTATTGCTATCTGTCTTCTTCTGTCATCGTGCGTCGTCCGTGCTGCGTTAATATTTTACATTTTCAACTTAAGCTGAAATACTATCGAAGGGATTTCATTTATATTTCCTGGGAATATTACTGACTATCTTCCTGACCAAGTTTTTTAAAATTTTGGCTAGCTCAGAACTCCAATATGACCGCCAATGCCGCCATTACAAATGAATTTACTTTGTATTTCAAACTTAGAGTCAAGTTTTAATGGGCCTATTTACCTGAAATATTTTAGGAATGAACGACATATGGTCCTGACAAATTGTTGTTATTTTTCGGGTCGATCAGAAATACAATATGACCGCTAATGCCGCCATTCAATAACTATTTCAAACTTAAAGACAGGTTATAATTGGCCGATTTAGCTAAAATCTAGTAGGAATAAAAAAGGTTTGGTTATTCTTTGGGTCGATCAGAAACCCAATATGGCCGCCACGGCTTCCATTTTGAAAAAAACGAAATGCTATATTAAGGTCACCGTTACTATCTATAGAAAATTGTTTAACAGTTACATACATTTTTGTGACAAATGGCATTCATGTGTTACACACTTTTTTAGATTTAACTTGGTAGTGATAATTGACTGATGGACCTCGCACTTGTGAAATACATTTTTAGTATGACAAATAATGTACTATTCTCCTTTGACATCATTATGTCAACAACAACAACAAATTACTGTAGGACTCAGGTGACCGTTAAGGCTCCATGGGCCTCTTGTAGATTGTTCCGTTATATCATTTGTATGCAATTAATACGTTAAAACTTTTAACCTTTCTACAAAAGTCTTTTAACCTCTCTATAAAAAAACACGACTGCACTGCAGAAAGGGTGTAAGAATTATACCTTCTGCCCCCATTGCACGCTCATAAGAGGCCACTAAATTTGGGATCTTATCTTTTCTCTTCTACCAAATGTCTCCTTTGACAATGCCTCACATTTGGCCTTTAGTTGAGCGTTTCCCCTGTAAGGAGGTGAGGGAGGCTTTGGGTACTGTCCCGTGGCCGAGACATACCAGAGTCTGTAAACGAATAACGCTCAGCAATTTAGGAGTGGGACTACTGGTTCGCCCGTTGTCAGTAAAATGTGATCGGGTGGGGTGTCCTGCTGGGTGCATTCGGCAGTATGTTCAGTGCTGTAGCACTATAAAGTCGACATCAGTTCCGAGACAAACACGAACATATCGCAGCTTCCCAAAACTCATACACTACACGCATGCATCTTACATACAGGGGAAACCGTCCTTAAATGACCATAGCGGTTGATAGGACGTTAAACAATAATAAACCAAACCAAATCTGCTACCGAATTCGAAGGGAAATAAGCTACGCCCCCCCCCCC